GGGCAGGTTTCACAACCCCCTTGTTTCTCAGGCAATACTTGATGACTGTAAGTTGAAGAATGCTTATGGATGGATCTGCAATAATAAAAGGAGCTTCTTCCCTGGGAACTCCCTGCACCACTGAAATCATGGGTCTGATCTAAAACAAACAAACAAAAAAACCCACTATAATTATATGACAGTTTAAAATGCTTGCATTTGACTACAAGTTATATTAATGCATCTGTTATTGTCACGTATGTCTCAAAGTTAACGTGTTTTTTGGCCTTCTGATAACAGAATAAGCACTGAAAAGGAGTCAAAATAAAAAAAAATTAGTCAAAGTCAAGAAAGGCTTTAGTTCTTTATTATTTCATATAATTATAAATCCTTACAATTGTGATTTCACAAAGTAGTAGTATAGACCTTACATTTTTCTTTGGAGAAGTGGTCTCAGGTAGAAGATGAAAACACTATATTGGGGGTCCAATAGTATGCTTGTTCATACACTACATGCCATCTCTTGACTCTCAGCATTTTCATCAGCTATCCCTTGTGCCTGGAATACTTTCTTACCTCTGCCTCCTAGCTTCCCTTGATCCCTTCAAGTCTCAGCCAAAGTCCCATCTTGTGTAAGAAGCCTTAGTCCTCTGTAATACCAGTGCCTTCCCTCTGATTATCTCCAAGTTAGCCTGTGTATAGATCTTATTTGTACATAATTGTTGGTGCATTGTCTTCCCCATCATACTTTGAATTCCTTGAGAACAGGAATTGGATTTTGCCTCTCTGTCTGTCTGTCTGTGTGTGTCTGTCTCTTTCTCTCTCTCTCTCTCCCTCTCTCTCTGTCTCTGTCTCTCTCTCTCATCTCCAGTATTTAACATAGTATCTGGTCCACAGTAAGTACTGAATAAATGCTTGTTGACTGGACTTGCTGGGATACAAAAACAAAAGTTAAACTATTTCTGTCTTCAAGAAGCTCGCATTTTATTAAGGGAGATAATAGTAGGGTGAAAGGGAATAAGGATTTTGAAGCCTACTATGTGCTAGGCAATACGCTAAATATCATTAGAAATAACATATATTAGTATATGCAGAAGACACAAAATAAATAAAATGTAATTTGGGAAGGGCAGTTGAGGTGGGAGAAAGCACTAACACGAGGAAACTAGGATTTTTAAGATATGGAGTTAAGGAGAGAGTGCCTTCTAGCCTTGGAGTACAGCCAGTCTACAATCATGGAGAAAAGAGATAGTGGGTATCATGTGAGGAACAGCAAATGGGCCAGTTTGGCTGGCCCAAAGAGCGTGTGAAAGGCAGAAAGGATTTAAATATCAGACAAAAAAGTTCACACTTGGTAGAGAAAGCAGGGAACCAACAATGACCCAGGTGTAGGCCTGATGCTCTAGCACCACCCATTTTCAGGGCTAGTTGATTTGGCAGGGAGTCACTGTAGTCTACTGAACAGGAAAGCGACACAAACAAAAATTATTTTGGCAAATGTGTGGAGGAAGGACTGGAGAAGGGAGAAACTTGGGGAAGGGAGACTAATTAGGCAGCTAGTTGTTCACATGCAAGGTACTGAAAGTTTGAACTAGGGTGCAGTAGGCACTTAATAAATATTTTTTGCTTGATTGATTGGTGGATGTACGAATAGCAAGAAGGCGATCAATCGTTGCTAGATATATTGTTGATGCAGAATCAAGATTTGGTGACTGATTGGATATGTGGGGTGATGGTGAGTGAGGAGTCAAGTATGATTTCTAAATTGTGAAGGTTAGTGATAACCTTTACAGAAAAAGAGGAGTCAATCCATCCTCTACACTACAGCCACATTAAACTTTTTAAAAGCATAGTTCCAATTGTGCCATTCCCTGGTTCATAAACCTTCAGTGATCTCTCACTGACAACAAAATAAAATCCATTCTTCTTAACCTGGCATACAAGGTCCTTTGCAATATAACCTCAATCTGTCTTTACAGAATCCCACTATTCTTTTATAGAAACTCTATGTTCCCAACAATTCTTATTCTTCCCTCTTACTTTCCTGGCTCAGAGCATTTACTCATGCAATTCTACCTACTTGCAATACCTACCCTCCCTACCGTCTCAATTTTTGTCTATTGAAATTCTACCAATCCTTTAGGGCTTAGAATGTAGGGAATAGAGCAGTGGGCCTGAAGTCAGGAAGTCAAGAAGACCTGAGTTCAAATCCAGCTTTAGAAACTTATGTGTGACCTTGGGCAAGTCACTTAACCCCTATTTGCCTCGGTTTTCCTTACTCTAAAATGGGAATAATGATAGCACTTACCTCCCAGTTTGTTTTGAGGATCAAATGAAATATTTGTAAAGTGCTGAGAACCCAGTAGGTGCTTTACAAATGCTAGTTTTTATTGTTAAAGTTGTTGTTGTGGCTGCTGTTATTAGCTATCATCTCAAATGCTTTGCCTCCAAAAAGCTTTTACCGAACCCATCAATCAAATGTAACATCATTCTAACTGGTCACTCTGCCTTGAGTCTTTCCCCTCCCAACTCATTCTTCACATGGCTGCCAAAATAGATTTCCCAGTGTGCAAGTCCAATTCTCTGAAAAACTTTCAGCGATGAAACCTTCAGATGGTAAAAACTCCGAAGGTTGACATTTTAGGCCATAGTCTGGCTCCAACCTGCCTTTTTAGTCTTATTTCATTCTACTTCTGTTTACACACACACATTCTAAGCAAACTCTACTACTGAGTAGGTCTGAGTAGCCTGTGAGATTCCTTCTAATTCGAGACGAATGCTTGTCTGGGTCCCCAGTGTTATCTGCCACACACCTACAAAGCATGATTGTAGATACTCCCTTTACTGAAGTCTTTCTCCTTGCTTATTTGTCACTTTCGCCTTCTTGATCTCTCCTTATATTTCTTTGAGCACTTTGTCTAGATCCCTATTCAGCCCTGATCACAATCAGATAGATAGATAGACAGATAGATGGAACACACACATACATACATACGTATATATATACAATACATACATATACATATACTTCTTTATGTATATATATACTTCTTTATATATATACTTTATATATATGCCCTTTAAGAATACACACACACATATATATGTATATATGTATAAAATTCTTTATGTATATATCTTATTCTTCCTATAAGCTCTTCAAGAGTGCAGACTATATTTTTTTCATCTTTGTATCTTGAGCATCTATCCCAGGGCCTTGAACATAGTAGGCACTTGACTTAGTTTATAACTCTTTTAAGGGTTCTTATCTGTTTTGTCTTATATTCTATTATCTGTTATATCTATTATCTATTATAATCTATATAGTAAACTCCTTAATGGTTGAGACTGCATCTTAAATCAATTAATTGATCAACATCTGTACATTAAACGTACCAGGCACTGTGCTAGGCCCAAGAGATAAAAAGTCAAAAGTGAAACAACCCCCACTAGTGCAGGGGAGTGGGTATGGAAGGACAAATGGACAATATGCACATGCTCAAGTATATACAGATTAGATATAAAATAAAATGAAGGTAATTTTAGGAGAAGGTTGCTAACATCTAGGGATATCAGGAAAGACTTCATGTAAGAAAGAGCTGGTTCTTGAGCTGGACTTTGAAGGAAACTAGGTTTTCTAAGAGGCAGCAATGAAAGATCAAGCAAAAATGCATTCCAGTCATGGAAAACTGCCTTTACGAAGGCATGGAGTCGGGAGATGGAATGTTTTGTCTGAGAAACAGCTCAACAGGAAGATAGGCCATATTGTAGGACACGTGAAGGGCAATTATGTAGAATAAGCCTCAAAGAGTAGAATGGATACAGATTGTGAAGGGCCTTAAATGCCAAGCACAACAGTTTGTATTTTTTATTAGAGGTTATAGAGACACTGGAGTTTATTGAATGAGGGAATATCTTCCATGATGTTTAAAATACTTGGTGCATTGATTGATTTCTGTTCAGAAACCTATTTCAACAATTATTCCATAAAGTTCTATTCCATTTATCAATGTCCTTGGTGTTACCCACTTCTAATGTAGTTAGAATGTATTAGCACTAGATTCCCAAATAAAAATAACTGCAATGGAGTCTTGTTACAAATCTATCTATGGTAGTATGCAGTTCAGTATGAGGCAAGTTCACTGTCATGGGAGTTTATTGCTGGTAATATCAGAAGGATTTCACTCTCACATCGCTCTATCTATAGTAAGGAACCTAGACGACAATGCAGTATTGAAGCTGTGGTGTACTGTGTGTGGAGTAGGAATGTTTTTGACAAGATTTGTCGAAGTTCCCAGAAGAGCTGTAAGCATAATCTATACTTTTCTAATTTTGTAGATTATTGACTATTGTGATTTTCATGTGAAGCACTTCCTAAAGATTGTCAATGAGACAGAAAATATTTTTAGGAACAAACTGCATTCCACTTATTAAAAATACATTCAATAAGTTTTTTAAAGAAGTCATAGAAAATCTTCATACACATTTATATAGTAAAGGAATATGTGGTTATTCTTTTGCTCCCATAGTTCTTGACTTTAATACCCATTGTCTGGTGTAAAGAGACATTATTTTTATGAAGTTCTATGAGTCTTTGATTTACATGCTTGCCCTGAAAGAGCATTTCTAAAAACTTAAAAAGCATAAAATCTACCAAAAAAGTATCCGTCAGTTAATCATGATGAACTGAGAGAAAGAGAGAGAGAGAGAGAGAGAGAGAGATAAGGAGAGATAAGATGAGAGACAGGGAAAGGGTAGGGGAGAGAATAATTATGGAATAGTTTAAGCAAATTTATTTAGGATTTTCTGGCAGGCAACAAGTATGCTAAAGGCTCGAGTTAATGTTGACATGGATTTTTGAACTTCACATTGTTGTGAGGTCATTCTCAGCTCTGTTTATACTCTGGATCTCTTTCAGACCGCATGAAGGTTAATTTTAGTTATACAGAAATAACAGAGAGAAAGACCGAGTGCTGCCCTTGTGAAAAGTGGTCTCACTTAAATTCGTTAGATTTGCTTACCTTTTGGGTTGCCTGTGCATCATCTGATGACAGGAAGCAGTATGTATCCCTTGTGGCAGTTTCCTTCGATTGGCTTTGATAACTTTCAGCCACTTTGTATGGGGAAGCCCCAGTAACAGCTGATAAAAGTTTCCTCGTCCCTATGAGTGTCAGAGTCTGGTAGAAGAGGCAGATTGCTACCACTAAGCCCAGAAAGAAGGGTCTTGGGCAGAAACGCCGACGACAGAGGAAAATCTGGCGACAAACCATGACCAGTTCACCTTCACTTGGCCCCTGTCCACATTGCTGGAAAATACATAGTAGCTATTTGTTGTTGTTGTTGGCAGTGTAAAAGTCAGAAACGTGTCCTCTCTTTTTTCCACAGTGAAGTCAAGTTTGCTCCATGCCTTCTCCTGAACTTTCCAAGGAAGCTCGCCAAAGAACCATGGGGTCCCCCAAAGTCAGTGAACAATTGACAAAAATGCTTCCGTGAATGACAGTCATATACCCAACGTGGGTTTAAAAACCCAGACTAATAATGATAGCTGTAATTAATAAATCTCAGCTCCACAGGGTGCCAATCTTTCGCTTCCCGCACTATCTTGTTTTTATAACATCCTTTAAGTCACTCGGTCAAGGAGCGGAAGTCTTGGCCTCAGCTTGACAAGAAAAGAAAAAGAAAAAGAAAAAAAGCTCAAATCAGATCACAGCATCTAAGAATGCAATCAGTTAAAACCAAAAGAGCTTGTAACACAGCTGGACGCTGGCCAGGTTTCCTTAGCAGTTTCTCAGTTTTCTCCACTCTCCACTTTAAATCATTCTACTTTTATGCTCCTTAAAACAGTCCCCATTCAGTTTAAACGTGACATTTTCCTCTAAGCATTTATGAATTTAAGAAGAAAATGAACATCCAGATTGAATGGACCGTCTTCACTGTTAAGTTCAAAGTTCTGTGTACTTACTTAGTTCTCTTGTTACCCGAAAAAAAGTTCTCCATGATCCCTTAATGGTTCGCAGATTAAAACCACTCGGAACCAGATGATCTTATGACTCCAGAACATCTCCTCCACCACATGCAGGCGTCCCCACACACACGAGCAAACACACACAAACACACAACACAAGCAGGCACCCTCTGGGCTCAGCTGGACCACAGACATTGTATAAATAAAGGCTGGATTTCTCAAGGAGGGGCGGGGTTAAATGTACTAAGACTGCCCATGCTGTTTCAGGGACGGCAAAAGCAGGATGTCAGCCCTGGATCAGAAGGAAGAATTGTATTTCTGTCAGACTGTCTATTTCCACTCAACAGAAAGGATATTTCTCATTTGTCTTGGAATCTAAGTGACTTAGCCACGACTACTTGCTTCTGTATCAGTTTTAGAGTCCTTTTTTCAGGAACACTTTTGATACCAAGGCATCAGAAAAACAAATAGCCTTCAGTTAATTGAAAACAAAGTTCGAGGGGAAGACTAAAACAGATTCCAATTAACATGCTGGAAGCTTTCAACTTTAGGAATTCGTGGTTACACTCACAGGGAACAGCATGGTCAGTATCCACCATTTAATATTCAGAAAGCAAAATCTGGACTGAAAATGCCAGGGTAAAAATGCCTTAAGAGAAACTTTTATTTATTTATTGGTATAATATTGAAGTTATAACCCTGAGCTCTTTGGAGTGCCAAATTTTTGCTTCTACTAATTCCTTGCTTTTTATAACATCCTTAAAGTCATATAATAAAGAAGCATACAATTAATATTTTGCTCCTACTCTGATAATCAGGTGTCCATGTTCCCAACACCTTTCCCCTAAAGTGGGACAAGAGGTGAAAGTAAATATAGCAACCACTGGACAATTTTTACACCTTAGCAAAATTTCCACAAAGGTCATACCTCTCTACCTGGGTGAGCTGGGGCAGGTCATGTAACCTCTTGGAGTCTCAGGGAGTATGACCTGTAAAATCCCTTTTAGCTCTGAATCTATGAACCTATAAATCTTCAGGCTGCCCTGACTAGATCCTAATAGTAATTTGAATAATAATTCAAATTTACATCACCCTTTAAGGTTTATAAACCCTAGGAAGTGGTTAGGACAAGTATTTTCATCTCCATTTTATAGATGAGGCTTAAAGAAATTAAGCATCTTGCCCACAGTCATATAAGAAGTGTCAGAGTCAAGATATAAATCTAAGTCCTCCCTACTGCAAGTCCAGTTGTTTTTCCATTGGCATCTATTTTTTTGCCAGGGTGGCTCAGAAGACATCCAAGGAAGCAGGAACTAACCAACACAAATACCCTCCCCCAACCCCGATTAGACATTCCCTGGACCTCAAGAACTGACTCAGCCTGGCAGCAAATTTCCTACTATGACTACAAATGGGAACTGGTCTGTAGTCCAAACTGATACATGCAAAGTATGAAGTTGAGGTCCAAGAGTCTCCCTAGAGTGAAACCTAGGACCATTCTACATATCTTTACATCTTCCTTAACATGTTCCATCCTAGGCTGGGCACAACAACACCACATACCTGTGTTTCATAACTATTCATTGATCAGTGAGATAAGTTCTGTTATGCTTTCTTAAAGAAAACATATTTTCTTTGAATCTAACCTATAGAACAGTTATATTGGGGTGGTGGCTTTACATAGTGATTCATTGATTTATAGAAGGAATTTTCACTTTTCCCAGATTTACCACAGGTCTCCTAAAATAGCTAGTATATTGGAGTTGGCAAGAAACTTGGAAATCAATTAACTAGAAATTGTTGGCAGCTAGGTGGTACAGTGGGTGTTTTAGATTTAGAGTTAAGAGGAGCCATGTTCAAATCCTACCTCAGATACCTCCTAGGTGGAACTGTGGATAGAATGTGGTGCCTACAGTTAGGAAGAGCTAAATCTAGCCTCAGTATTTCCTAGCCATGTGACCCTGGGCAAATCACTTAACCTCTGCCTCAGTTTCCTCAACTGTAAAATGGGAATAATAATAGTGCCTACTCTCCAGGGTTGTTGTAAGGATCAAATGAGATACTATTCACAAAGTGTTTAGAGTGGCATTTGTTATAGAGTAGTCATTTAATAAATACTTGTTTCTGGGGCAGCTAGGTGGCGCAGTGGATGGAGCATCGGCCCTGGAATCAGGAGGACCTGAGTTCAAATCTGGTCTCAGACCGGATACATGATACTTACTAGTTGAGTGACCCTAGGCAAGTTACCTACCCCCAATTGCCTCAAAAAAAAAAAATGCTTGTTTCCTTCCTTCCAAGCTGTGTGAACCAGAACAAGTTACTTAACCTCTCAGCCTTGGTTTCATCATCTGTAAAATGGGAATAACTGTATTACCTACCTCACAGAGTTGTTATGAGGGTTACATGAGATAATAAATGTGAAGTGCTTTGTAAACTTTAGAGTGCTATATAAATGCTAGTTATTATTATCATTATTGTTATCACAGTGTTATAGAAGCCAATGGAGAGTTTCAAGGAGTGGGTGACCTCCAGTGTTGGAAGTCACGGGTTTGGTGAGTATAAGGTAACAGAGATGACAGGTAAGGGAGCTATAATAAGAGATCACAGAGATCTTAGAAGTAAAACATTTTCCTCACAACAAACCTATGAGAAAGATTTAAAAAGTGGGGTTCAGAGAGGTGAAGTGATTGGGTTAGGGCCACTTTGACTACAGATTCAGTGTTCTTTCCACTGTTGCCTCATTCAAACTAATTCAAAGTGGGTCTTGGAATGTTTGAAACTGCAGAGTAAAGGAGAACAAGGAGTTATGGCAATGAGGCGTCTGGATGAGAGGTCAGTGAAAATTGCTGGGGGCTGTAGTGATGGGGAAGAAAGGAAAAAGGAAATCAGGTTTAGAAATGATCTAGGAAGATGAAAATGGGCCCTATGGAAGTGGATGACTGTAGCATTAATGATTTGAAGAAAGTGTTATTCATTCATTCTAACTTGTATTAGATGCCTACAGTGTATGGAGCACTTAACAGAGGTAAAATATGTCACCTTTCTAGCCTTATTAATCAGACAGTATATCTTTTCACATTCAATTATATTCTATAAATATTTATTAAACACCTACTAGATGCCACATACTTTGTGGTTTATCCAAATTGACCTTCTTGCTACTCTTCATACAGTCTCTCCATCCTTTGTCACTGTGCCTTTGCAACGGCTATCCTCAGTTCCTGAGATGCACTTTGTCACCTCGTCTTCCTAGAACTGTTAGCTTGTTTTAACTCAATTCAAACCCTATTGCCTCATGGTCCCTTTGGTTGCTCATATATTTCTCCCACCAAAACCTTGTATTTTTTGCATATGTATATGTGTGTATACATACTCGTATATATAAATGTCTCACCAAAGGAAATGTAATTTCCTTGAAGGCAGGGATTGTTTAATTTTTATCTTTGTATTTTCAGTGCCTAGCATGGTACCTGACACATAGGTGTTCAGCAAATGTTTGTTGATTGATTATAAGGACAGCCTGTGGTACAATGACTGGAGTATTGGGTTTTGAGTCAAGAGGAGCAAAATTTGAATTTCCAATTGACCTTGGACAATTCCCTTAATATATCTAGGCCAAAGGCAAACCCATATGACTTAAATCTTAAGTCATAAACAAGTTATGATCACCAGTTGATGGAGGCAATTCCTATACTGGAGGCTTCCTATGTTGACAAAGCCCCAGTCAGCGCACTTTTGAAAGATATGGTACTTCTTGTCTAATAGAGTTATGAGACACAAATAACTATGGTACATGATATTTAATGATGAGTACATTAGGGAAGAGGCAAAATAAAGTTGTATGTGAGCTAATAAAGGTCATAAAACCATGGATATAGTGTAGGAAGGGACCTTAGAGGCCATCTACTTCAAACTCCTTGTTTTAGAAATGAGCAAACTGAGGTCCAAAGGCATACAATGACTTCCCCAACATCACATAAGTAGTAATTGACAGATCCTGGGATTGGAAGTTAGATCCTCTGATGCCAAGTCCCCCAGGAAAAGACCATACTTTTTGAATGCATTGAATGGCATTGACTTCAAGAGATAAGAACTAGGAAAGAGATGGTGAACCCACAGGAATCAAAGAGAAGGCATGGCTTCTTTGCTCTTCACAGGAGAGGATAACAGTGAACGGTGTTTTCAAGAGAACCAGGTTTCAGTTAGGGTGAGAAGGTAGAGACAGCTGTGAAATAGGCTTATGATAAAGGATAATTTGCTCAAAATGAAGGTGGGCACTATTAAAAGAAAGTAAGCAGGAGGTGAGAGAGACAACTGGGGAAAGAAAAGGAAGCAAGGATAGGGTGAGGATCATGATTTGTGTGGAAGCATATGTAAAGCAAGGGAGGATATGAATAGGAACAAGGAATCATGTGGGTATCGTGAAGAGTTAAGATGATTTGTGAATGCCATGAAATGCTGAAAGAGCAACAGGATGACAGGATAGTGACTTGTGGATTAAAAGGATTCAGAAGACCTGGGTTCAAATCCCAGCTCTGCCAATTATTGTGGGTAAGACGTTGGGTCAATAATTTTGCTTTTCTAGGCCTTAAAAAGTTTCTTCAACTGTAAAATAAAGAGAATAGACATTAAATGACATTTAAAGTCCCTTATAGCTCGTAATCTATGATCCTACATACATCATCATTGTACACATCAGAGTCATCCAAACTATTCATTAGCATTCCAGATGGAATTCCACTACAATTCTAAGACATACTTCTAGAGGAATTTTTATTTTTTTTTTACTAGAAATTAACATTCTTACATATAAAAGCGACCATTTAATTCTATACAGATTGGACTAATAAAAAAAATGAAACTAAAGTCTTCCTTTTTGTTCCCCAAACAACATGCAGGTTTGGAAATCTTTATGTTGCTATAACCCACACGCTCTTTAAATATTTAATGTTGCCTCCATCTGGGCTGGAGTGAAGAAAGACGACATCTTTGTCAAAAATGGGAATGGCTTCCAAAATCTTGTCCCCCTTCTAGGAGTCAGTAACAATGAGCTTCACATATGGCTCTTTTCTGGGCTTTTCTGACCACTGTCTACAGCACAGTCTACCTATAACAGGCTGTCTCTATAATGCACTTTGTCATCAAAAATTTTGTCACCAACTATAGAAATTTATTCTTGTATG